CCCCCCCCCCCCCCCCCCCGCTCTCCCGTATCTCAACCCCGCTGTTTCCGTCAACACTATGCCTGCGCCTTCGCCTCTGTCGTCGCGCCGGTTTGTTCCTGTTACCGCTAACATGATGCCCGCGCATTCGCCAAGCACCTCTATCGTCGCACCGGTTTCCTGGCCCCCGTTCCCCCGCGAAATGCCTAGAGCCGCCCTCCCTCTACTTCTCTTCCGCCTCGAGAAGGCCATTGTCCGCCCTCCCCGTTCGCTCGAAACGCCTAGAAATGTACCACAGTCGCCGACTGTAAGCGACCATATCGAGAACATGGCTGGAAACTACCACACCTTAGCGACAACCGCTCTGGCACGGTACAGTTGCAGGTGACGAGCGAGGATACCCAGGCGCGGATTGGTTCAGGCCAACAATCCAGCCGGCACCCCTTAACAACGAAGGCGCGCGTCGCATGATTGGCCGAGGCCATTCCAGCCGGCACCCTAAGAACGAGAAGGCGCGCGTCGCATGATTGGCCGAGGTCAACACTCAAGCCGGCGCCCTAAGAATGAGAAGGCGCGTGTCGCATGCGCCCACTTCCTCTCCTCTCCAGTCCCCCTAGTAGTCGGCCTCGTCGCCTTCCCTAGCTCCCGCCCTTGCCGCCCCCTTTCCCAGCATTTTCATGGCGATGGAGTTCACCCCAGCCGAAGCTTTCGTGGGATCCGATGGTGGTTCTCCGTCGAAGTTGAGGACGCCGTATTGGCTGGGATATGTAAGGTTCACGTCGGCAGACGTTCGCGTTTAAAAGTACATACTTGGGAGGGTACTGAGGAGATACCGGGACGGTTTTTATGCGAAGACAACAACAACAGCACCAGCAACAACCAAACCGACAACGGCAGCGGAAACAAAAAACGTCAAATTTACCGAGAAAGGGCCGGGGGTTGGGTGGACAAGGGAAAGGTTGTGGTGCCTGACTGGATGCCTGCCCCTATCCCACCCCGTCCGACTGCGGCGACCACCACCCTTGAGAGCTGCATCCCGGAATCCCACCTTAGCACGAAGGCTAGCGTGTCTTCGTGGAAGTCGTCCGTGCCGCCCAGCTCCTCAAACCCGCGGATCTGATTATACCAAGATGCAAGGAAGGAGCACGTACTCGGAAAAAATGAGAAGATGGCGCTACAGGCAAAATCACGATCTGATCCCAATACGATAGGAGAAAGGAGAATGCCTTCGGGAAAACGGGAAGGAGAAAAGGATGCAACAGACAAAATGTAGGATCTGATTCCACCACGATACAAGAAAGGGGCATGCATCCGGAAAAAAGGAGAAGATGATGCAAACAGACAAATGCATGGATCTGATTCCAACAGGATGGACAAAAGGAGCATGCATTCGGAAAATGGACAAGACGATGCTACAAACAAATTTAATGGTATTTGCCTGCCTTGTTCACCTAGAAAGCGGTACATCTATCTGGTTCGTACGGAGTTCCACGGAACAGCACACCGCGAGCGGTTACAGCAAATCGTGCACATAAAAGAACATAAAAAAACGGCATCACGAAATCGCGTACCTCCCTCACCCCCAAACGAATTCATAGAACAACAGCCAGCACGGCGGTGGCGCTGCAACAAACCCAACCAACTTGGAAACAATATGGGTGCTATCAAACTCGCCCTACCGGGCTTTTCCTCAGCCTAAAAAAAGTTCCCTGACATGTAGACATCAAGGCTTCCCTACGTGGTGGGTACCGTACATGACACAAGATAACACACCCCCTGGACCAATGTTCAAATCTCGATTTCCCAAGAAAAGAAAGAGTCACAGCGCCGAAAACGGTGGCGTTGAAGCTGTCTCGTCGAGAGCTTGCCGAAAATGTATTGTTTCATTGATACATCCTCTTCGTCGTTGCGTAATCGAGCTTTGAAAAATTGGTCCAGGGGGTGTGTTATCTTGTGTCATGTACGGTACGTGGGGAGTGTCAAGCACATCCGCCACGAAACTATCTACAGCGCTTGTGGACCCGTTTCAGCGAGACCTGCTAGGGTTAGGGGGGAGCATACCGTAGGTGACGCAAGATACCACGCCCCCTGGAGCGATTTCCAAAGCATGATTACTCGACGGCGAAGAGGATGCCGGAGGAAAACGACACGTTTTCGGAAGCCTTCTCGACGAGACAGCTTCAACGCTGCCGTTTTCGGCGCTGTCACGCTCTATGTCGTGGAGAAATAGAGACGCTTAATGCTATGGAGAAATAGCGCTGGAAAACAGTTTCACGGAGTGTGGTGTCTTGTGTCACCTATGCGGTGTGGTGGACATTCAGGGCAGGCCGCTATTGCCGGCAGAGCGGCTACTAGGCTGGGTGCAGCAGTGGCGCCACACGATTTTTGGTGTTCGCTACAACAGAGCAATGGCACTAAACAGGGGATCGCCAAACCTGGCCAGAGCACTTGACCACTGCTGTACGTAGCACTTTCGTCGCGATGCGGTGACGTCGATTACGCACACTCCCCACGCGCAAAAGACTGCTCGTGGAATGCACAAATGTACAAGGTAGCGGAAAAGGCCAAAGCACGAGCAGGGAAGCTGCACCCAATACTCGCAAACCGGTACCTCGATACACGCATCAAATTGACGGTTTTGAAGAGCGTAATCGTGCCGCCGCTAGAGTACGCCGGAGGAGTATGGGAAGGAAATAAGGAGGTAGTGAAAGAACTCGAGGCGGCGCAGATGAAAGCAGCGAAAATCATCCTAGGATGCTCCAGGCGCACAAGTAATGCAGCCGACAGGGCAGAATTGGGGATCCAACCCCTACGGTCGGGAAGAGACGCGAGAAAGCTGACATGGCAGTATCGCATGTGCGGGATGGGAGAGGAGAGGTTGCCGAGAATTGTATGGGAGGCGAAGTGGGCAAACAAAAAGAGGGGTAGACAACCCACGGAATGGGTCAAGGTTGTAGAGGACGTATGGAAGGGGCTCGACATCGACGAAGATGAAACGCTGGAAACGGAGGGTCTACAGGGGTTCAAGGAGAAGATATCTGTTGCTTGTGCCGAGAGAGAAGAACAGAATCTGAGGAAAGAATCCAAGGATAAGGAGGGTCTAGAAGTGTACGGAATGTTGAAGGAAGGAATAGGGTTCAAGGACTACCTACATGGACCAATGGATGCAGGAACAAAGCTTAAGGTCAAATTCAGGACCGGGGACATAGGCCTTCGAGAACGTCGACGAAGACATAGGACGGTAGACGAGGAAGACGACGAGTTCAAATGTGATTGCGGCTTCGAATGCGAAGACAGTGTTCATGTAGTCGATGAATGTCCGTTGTACAAGAATGAGAGGGAAGTGTACGTGACAGAGCTGGGAAAAATAGATGGAACGTACAGGGAGATGTTTGAGGCATGGAATAGAGAGGAAAGGACGGTAGCTGTAGTGGGGCATAGGAGGTGGGTTGAAAAGGCGGGAAGAGATATCGTTAGGATAGACAGACTAGGGCAGACATTTTTGAGCCACGTTTGGCAAAGTAGAAAGGAACGATTGGTNCGTGTTCTGGAGGTCGCGCCCCGCCTCGTCGTCCTCTTCCCTGGCCCGTTTCCTGCTCGCCGTCCCCTCGCCGTCGTTGTCCATGATGTCGCTCTGCCAATAGTAAACCACGCCAAAACGTAGACACCGCACGCGTCTTGCGTCAGACACAGACATGCACCAGCTGCAGCATCGCATCACTCCCCCAAGCAGACAGGACACCATCCCCCCCCCCCCCCCCCCCCCCCCCCCCCCCCACGCCCAAACGTGCTTGCCTGGTGTATTGTGTGACCTCCCTTGATGAGGAGGATGGTGGGCATGACGAAAATGTTGAGCTTCTCGGTGAGGTACGGCGACTTCTCTGCGTCGATCTTGCAGAACTGCGACAAGGCAAAACACGAGCCATCACGTCATGTCACGGCCGGTGCCAGCATAAAAAGCAAACGATCGAACAAAAAAGGTCCGGTGGGGGGGGGGGGGGGTACTC